TATATAAATATATATTATATATATATTATATATATATATATTTATAGTATATATAGAGAAGAGAGGGAGAGAGAGGAGAGAGAGGAGAGAGAAGATGGGAATTAAAAGAAAGAATAAAGAAAGAGAATTTCAAAAAAAGAGAATAAAAGTGAAAGAGGAGAGAAGAGAAAAAAAGCCGAAAGAGACAGTAGAGGAGAGAAGAAAAGGAAATAAAAACTCTTAATTAAAAAAATCCAGATTCCCCTCCTCTTCCCCCCTCCCTCCCCCTCAACCCCAGGTTGTTAACACAGTTACCCAGAGCACGATTCGTACGAACCTTATTTGACCCGTTAATTTATTTTTTTAATCTTTTCGTTTTAATTTTTATTCCTTCCCCCCCCTCCTCACCCTGCCCTACGAGTTCCCGCGGTCAAACTTTAAAACTTCCTTGACAAAACACAAAAAAAAACATATGTTCTTCTCCTAGTCTCCTTGGCTCGCCCCTTTCTTTCCTCCTCGACCTTGCTTCTCTTTTATTTCCACAATCATCACAATTCAACACCCTTTTTTCCTATTCATCACACCACACAATTTCATTTCAGTTCACCTTTTTTTGTTTTTTTACTTCTGAGATTTTTTTCTCTTTCTTATCTTGTTTTTAAGGTTTAGGATTTTTTTGTTTTGTTTGTTGTTTCCTTTTGTTATTCTTTTTTTCGAAAAAAGAATCTGTGGTGGTTATTCATCAGTTTGTAGAATTATTTATGTATTCGGATTAGATTCCTCTCAGCTCCTTCTGTATCTCCTCTGTCTCTGTCTCTCTCGTCTCTCTCTCTCGTCTCTCTCTCTCTCCTCCTCCCTCCCCTCGCTGCTCTCTCTCACTTCTCCTCACCCTCTGGCCCATCTCCTCTTCCCTCCGCTCTTCTCTCCTCTCCCTCTTCTCCTCTCCGTCTATCCTCCTCTCTCCTCCTCTCGACCTTCTCTCATCTCCCCTCTTCGTCTCCTCTGGATCTCCTCTCTCTCTCTCTCGCTTCTCCCATTCCCTCCCTCTCCCTCCTCCTCCCTCTTTCTCTCTCTCCTCCTCTCTCTCTTCTCTCTCTCCTCTCTATTTTCTCCCTCCTCCTCCCTCCCTCTCTCCTCTCTCTCTCTCTTCTCTCCCTTCTTCTCTCCTCCCTTCACTCGTTCTCCTTCCATCTCTCTCTCTCCTTCTCTCTCTCTTCCTCTCTCTCTCTCTCCTTCTCTTCCCCTCACCTCCTCCTTATCTCTCCCTCCCTCATCTCTCTACTCTCCCTCCTCTCCTCTTCCCTCTCTCTCTCTCTCTCCTCCTCTCCCCTCTCCCTCCCTCTTCCTCTCTCTTCTCTCCCTCCT